AAAGTAGGATGATTTGATCACAAATGTTAATACTTAAAAGGTCTATTTTTTGTCGTACTCTCAGTTATGTAAACATTTTAAAATATTTTATATGCGACAATCCTTGTTAATGTCTCAGCCACTCTCCCGTCCTCTCCTTACCCCAGAAGAGGAAGACATTTTACTTATTTGGTCTTAAGTACTTTTACAGAAGTAAGTCAGACTTTAGCTTCCTGACCACTCTTTTGAACAGATGGCAAACTTCTAATTCTTTCAAAGCGGACACTTTCTTAATTGATCCAACTCTATACATCAAATAGAGGAAGGCTAAAATCCAAATGTTCATAATCTGGAACTTATTACATGTATATAACACTACTCTGATTACAAATTTTATTTTTTCCAACATGCAGGGTAGTCCTTTTCATCTCTCTGTACCTATGTCACAAATAACATTATTGCTATGGTTGGGATTTGGCTGGACCTCATTTTTGCTTAAAAAAAAAAAAAAACCTTTCTAGTTCCTCATATTGACATCTTGATTGATTACTTGTCAATCTAATTTGTTAAAACTTAAAACGATGTAAAGAGACTATCTCCTTCATTTGTTATTCCTCTGTGTGTGTGTGTGTGTGTGTGTGTGTGTGTGTGTGTGTGTGTGTGTTTTGGATTTTGAACATAGCTTTAACAATTTTTCAGTAATATCACTGTCTGAAGTTTGGCAGTTTATAGTGATGTCTAGCATTGGGGAATCATGCTGCAGACATGTGACATTATATCCTAATCTCAGGCAGTGTTCTGTTAGATTATTAAAGGTGACAACTTTTATGACGTAAAAACGCATTGATTTATGTGCACGGTTTTATTCAACTCCAGCTATACTTGTTTGAATGATATACAGTATATGCCATGCTGCAATGCATGTGCTGCTGAGTAATTTAGCTTGAAACATGCATGCCATGGGCGATTCTCAAAATAATAGGTGATTTTGATTTTAAGAATGCATTATTTTCAGTGCCAAAATGTCGATACCTATTAGTCACAACCATAAATGAACCTTGAAAAATCAATTTCATCTAAACAAAAAAATTAAAACAATAGTGGGGGGAGACATCTGCATGCATAGATATATTTTTATTTTTCAAACGGTACCTTATCATAAACATGGCACTTTGTACAAAATTTTTAAAAAAATACTCAGATTATTAGAGGGAAATATTTGATACTGAATTTTTCTCAAAAATTAGATGAACGTGAAAGTACAGTTTGAAATTGCAGATTATAAAACGAAAACCAATAAATGTATGAACATGAAAATTAACAATGCTGGCTCAGATCTATACAGTTTTTGGACTCAAGGTGTGAACTGTACTAGTATGTTAGTAATGCATAAAATACAGGACACAATGACCTTTGGTTGTAAGGGTGCAAGTTTGTTAATGTACAAAATAGCCTAACTCGACATTCAACCACAAGATGTCAATGAACTGGAGTATAATAACCTGCTATGGACCACTAACTAATCTCAACTATATATTTCAGTGATGGCATATATGTCGCGGTTAATATGCTTTTATGAGATCGAGATTCTAATGACGCGTCATTTTTTCTACCATATCGGATTATAAAATCAGCTATACATGAAGATCCGAATGCATATTCATGTACCTTTGAATCTGACTGCAACCACAGAAATCCCCGTTTCCAACCATTAATATGGATTTTGTGATATTTTGGTTGCTATGATTTTGGCGTTGTCTCAACAAGCTTTAAATTTTAAATGCCAAAGGAAAAAAAAAAACGACCAAGTTTTATGCCGCTTGTTCTCTTGAGTAATCCAATCATTTAACATCGGTAATTCTGGCAAAATTACTTTTTTTAATCATACATCGTAAAGACTAATGCTTCTTGACATCAAAGTATAGCATACACTGCAGAGATATTCAAAGTAATATTTATTTTGTTGTATGTTTTAACCCAATCATAATTATTTAACGTCTTTAATCCTTTCCGAATTAACCACTCCGGTGGCCTAAGGGTTAGAGAGTTTGCCTCGGATGCGAGAGGTCCTGGGTTCTATCCCCGGTCAAGTCATACATCATGACTTACAAAAATAGTACTAACAGCTGCCTCGCTTGACGCTCAGCATTAAGATGTTAGTGTTAGGACTGGTTGGCCTGGTGTCAGGATAATGTGACTGGGTGGGACATCATGCAACATGTCTGCGGCCTGATGCCCCAGCGGTAGACATCACTATAAACTGCAGACATCGTAGAAATACGACTGAAAAATTGTTAAAGGTAAGTTAAAAATCATAAACATCACCTTTCCGAATTACTTAAGCTCACACGTAGTATAATTCTCTTATCGTGATCAAACCGCTTTTAAGACAGGTCCCGACGTATAAATCATACGACAAACTTTCCTGCTTTCCGCTATATCATCCTTAAAAGTAATTCCCTTTTTTGCAACAGAAGAAACTTCAACGGACATTGCAAAATGTTTGTGAGATAACTAAATGAATAGTTTCTAGGTTAATTAAACTTTAATCGAAAATACAAAAACTAAAATCACTGCAGTGCAATAAATGGTAAATTCTGCCACGGCGTTTGTATAAAATATAATAGTGAAACTTAACATTTCATCATCAATTGTTTTATTCGTCATTGACATATCATGCTCAAAATATTTTTTTAAAAACTCGAAACATCAATTTTATGACTTAACTTGCTCATGTAGCACCACCCATATCCCAGGAAATTAGACGCATTGACATCGTATCAGCTTTTTCTTTTATGTTTTCATTGTGATGTGCGCATTTATCTCAGTAAACATTCGAAATTTAACATCAGATGTGCATGTGGGTTTTTTTTCTTTATAATTTTAAGATATAAAAAATAGATTAACTGGAATTTGGCAGAACAAAATACCTAACATTTATAAGGAATGCTAATTCGTTTTTTTTTTCGATCGATCGATCGATCGATCGATCGATCGATCGAGAGAGAGAGAGAGAGAGAGAGAGAGAGAGAGAGAGAGAGAGAGAGAGAGAGAGAGAGAGAGAGAGAGAGAGAGAGAGAGAGAGAGTTATGATAAAAGTTATGATAAAGGTTCACGAAAATCGTAAGCCTTCAAAAAAGTTTTAACATGTAACTTAATGGGACATCCAGTGCTAGGTCAGTTCACAGAGCCTCAAACTCGCGATTGAAGATTCGCTGGTGCAATATCCGTTCAAGCAAGCTACCATGGTGTGTCATTGGGAGTGGCATGTTTTTTCTCGACAAGGTATAGCCAATAACGAGTTAGTAGCCGTTTAAACTAACATACAAATTCAAAAATAAAACACATTGCTTAAATGTATTTGTGTATGTTGACGAATTGTATGAAATATTTCTATAGACAAATAAACAAAAAAAAAATCCTGTTTTTTTTTCCATTCATCATATACAGTTATATGTTTGCATTTAATTGTACACTTGTAAAGCGTACTGTAGCAAAGGTTATAGCGCGTAGATGAGGTGAAAAATATCAGCCACATTTTGTCCAGATTTATGCATGGCTGCGCAGTCTTAGGGCAATACCTTATTGCTTAGGTAAGTCAAACAGCGACAATGACGTTTACTTTTACTGCATATTAACAGATTTCATTACCTGGACCAGAGTATATAGATACTGATACAATTCATAAAACGTAATCGCCATGTACATTTCTTTAACTGGTACCAAAGATAATGAAATGAATGCATGTACTTGTGAAGATAAATACTCAACCAATATGTTATTCAGGCTGCTCGTGCCGCATATTGGTTGTCCCAAACTAGTAAGGATGCATCAACATTTAAAATGGCCACAAGCTGAAACAAATATAGTTTACTATTTCAGTTCGAAAGAGTGCATTGTAAAGTATCAGTGTCCGATGTTGGCCTGATCGCTTTTTAAGACCGTGTAATTAACAGATTGGTCGCAATATTATTTTCTTCCTTCTCTTTTAAGATAATACAATTTCTTGAAATGACGTGAATAGTCTACTAAAATATTGGTAATAGTGGTTTTCTTTTCGTTGAGAGAAAGCATGATTGATGGCAGAAATTGTCAATGTTATAAATCTTCCGGAAACATATTCATCATATTTTCACCATATTTAAACCTTTCATCTCCATATCCTCATTTTAAGATTTGTAAACATACGTCTTATTACCCTGTTGGCAATAACGGATTTTCTCATGAATATCAGAGGATGTCAAAGATTCAGAATGAGCTTTTTTACACAGTATTATGCTTAAAAGATTGTTCCTTTTTAATCTTGAGAATTCCACAGAACTCTACAGATTTGATGACTTTTGTCAAGGATAACAAGGTTCATGGCTTTACATATTTAAAACTTCAACGTTCCTAATAACTGTACCTCAGATTAAAATAAAATGTTAAATAAAAGATAAATATTAAAGTGTAAAATCAGTTTAGGAAAATGTTCAGAAATTAAAAAATAATTAAATGGGAACAAGAATCGCAGATTTCTGTATGGTCTAAACGTGTACTTGCACTAGAAGTTAATTATATGCAAAGAAGTATTTTGTTATGTAGGATTTAAAAAGGCTGGTGTCTAAAATAATTTATATATCCATATTTTATTCAGTTTCACTCGACCTAATTTTGAAGAGTCTTTTAGACTGTAATTTCCTATTTCTTTAGATGATTGGGGTTTCATTTGTACTTTAAATGATGCTGAAAGAGTAAAATCAAATTAGTGAAAACTTATCAAATTATTATTTAAAAAATTATTTTGTTTGAATGGCCTTTACTTGCTTCACACAGGCTGAGCGACTGTATTCCATGTCCATGACTTATAAATCTTATCGCAGCACAAACTCAGCGCATTGGATAAAAAAGTTTTGTTTCTCCAGCAACTCGTCATCAAACCTGAAATTTGCATTTTATTAATTTCATAATTTTAAAACTTGGCTTAACACAGTCAGAGGTACAATAAATGTAATATTTAAAACTGGTTTACTTATATAAAAGACCGCTCCGGTGGCCTAGTGATTAAAGCGTCCGCTTCGGATGCGGGAGGTCGTGGCTTCGATCCCCGGTCGAGTCATACCAAAGACTTACAAAAATGGTATTAACCGCTGACTCGCTTGACGCTCAGCATTAAGAGGTTAGTGTTAGGACTGGTCGGCTTGGTGTCAGGATAATGTGACTGGGTGGGACATCATGCTACATGTCTGCGGCATGATGCCCCAGTGGTAGACATCACTATAAACTGTCACAATGCAGACATAGTAGAAATATGACTGAAAATTTTTTAAAAGCTACGTTAAAAATCATAAACACAACACACACCACACACACGCTTATATAAAAAAACAGGATAGCTTGAACTGATTTTTCGCCCAAACAGTAACTACTTTAATGTATCTTATCGTGGATCATTCTACATGCTACTAGAATGGTCATCGGTTTAGGTCATTATCTAATGCTTGTTCTTTTATTCTATTTCAGAGAATATCATCGTAATGAGATATTTTCTGTTCTGTTCATTTCATCGTTTCATGACGCGAAAGGATGCGTGCTACTTTACTGAGGTAATATTTACCATGATGTGTAGACAAATTAAGGTTTGGATCAAGATCATTGTAGGTCCTAGGCACTTTTTCAATACAACGATTGACATTGTCCCCACCGGCCACCTTGTTGTTGTTGTTGTTGTTGTTGTTGTTGTTGGGCTTAACGCCATTTTTCAGCACACGATAGGCTATTCATGGCGGCCAGTATTAATAGTGGAGGAAGAAACCCGGAAATCATCCGGAAAGAACCACCGACCCACAAGAAGCTACTGGCAAGCTTTCTCACATATCCACATTCGCCGAATCCTAGACTCGACCACCTTGTGTATACACGTTTTGGTAACATGGTTATTTCTGTAGACCATAGGCACTGTGTGCCTTTAGATAAAACGGCCTGGCATTATATATATATATATATATATATATATATATATATATATATATATATATATATATATATATATATATATATATATATATATATATATATATATAATTGTGGTGGAATGGTTATCCCGTTTGTACTAGCTTCTAAACTATTTAAGTTAATATAGGAATGAAATAAAATAGAAGAATGAAATCTCTCTCTCTATCACACACACACACACACACACACACACACACACACACACACTGTTCTCAAAATCCACAACATGGGCAAAGTTTAAATAGCATAATGGTTGGTCTAATAATCAAAGTGCACTTAATAACACCAGAAATATTTTATTTATTACGGTCATAAACTTGGAGATGACATTCTATGTTATCCATATACAAAATGTCAAAAAGTGCTATTTGTAAACGAATTCACTTCCTTACAAAGCGACGTTTTGCCTCATATGTAGGTGTTCATACGCATCAATGTTTACGGTTCTGCACCAGAATTTGACCTTCATTAAGGACATGCCACGCAAGGAGGAACGGACAATTGTCAAAGGCAAATGGTCTGCGCGGGAAGTTTTAATTATTAATATATAATCAGTTTTTTTTGCATCGGCATACAATGATACCCGTAATAAATGGAAGCGGCATATGGGTAGTGGCCCCAACTTCCGCACAATGAAAACTGCTGTTGTAATAAATTTAGGATTAAAAGGAAGCATAACTACCTTGCAGTGAGTGGAAAATTCGAAGTGCAGAAATGCAGGTTTCTAAATACGTGCAATGAGATGGAGCTATCTACTTCTGTAATACATTATTTTAAATTTGGTTTTACAAAGCAGATCCAACCGCTGTGCAGTGGAAAACTAATCTTGCAATTAACGTCTAAGTTATGTCATAATGGTAGTTCCGGACGCTATAAAACGGAATCCACTTTGCTAATAAGGTTGTAAAGTTACAAGTTCTGGAAACAAAATCCACAACAACAAAAAATAAAAAAATAAGCAAGATCTTCCCCAAAACAAATACCCCCACCCAAAAAAAACCCAATTGGATGAAAGGATAACTTGTCAATGTCTGTCAAGGCAGCTCTTGATGCCATGTTATTTGTTTATTAAAATGTTTTGTATTTCAGAAGGGTATATCAGAAAACGCTCTATACGAAGCCAGTTGTGCAATAACATATATTAACGTAGATTTTAAAGTAAAAACCCTCGTGACGCGTTGGCGAATTGTCAGAAATTGTTATAGAAGCAGCAAATATTTTAGATTTACTGATCAAAAATTGACCTCGCCACGATGAGATATTCCTATTGAAATTGTGTCATGATGAGATATTTCCTTATATATTGTGTCATAATGGGATATTTCGTTGAAAATTATGAGAAAGAAGACTTCTTTACATCAGCAAAACGAATTACTGATTGTCATTGTTGATTTGATTACGAAGACATTACATTGTTGATCGTTCGTATAAGTTTGGTTTCGTACAGCAGTTGGAAACACAATTGCAATATTTATGAACTTTATTACGATAGTGGTAAAACAGGATAAACATATTGGTGAATGACCAGATCAATTGTTATACGGGTATTAGATTATTACATTACAGCCTTAAACGATATCACTATTTAATTGTCTCATGTCATTACTTTTATATTTAAAAACTAACTTCCTAAACTTAATTTCAGAAGTGGTTTCCAAGGGACACAGATGGAACTATAATTGTAATAATAATGACGATTATTACAATACAAGATACTAATAATTTTATTCAACGTCGGTAGTCTAGCTCTAGAGGGATCAATTTACAGACGACATAACAATTCCTATCTCAGCGTAGTTATATAGACAGTAGTAAACATTTACGGAGAAGCAATACACATCAAAATTATTACAATGCCAACAGTAACATCAGATTAAAAGACAATTCTGTAGTGTATAACATGCAGATCTACAGGTTTTAATTCAGTGACACTATTTTAAATTCTCAACCTTTAAGTTGAATGGCACTTGTACTTTTTACCTAGGGGTTCGAGCGTCCTCCTTGGATGCGGGATGTCGCGGGTTCGAACCCCAGCCGAGTCATACCAAAGACTTACAAAATGGTGCTATCAGCTGCCTCTCTCGGCGCTCAGCGTTAGGTGGTTAGTGTTAGGACTGGTCGGCCTGGTGTCAGGATAATGTGACTGGGTGGGACTTCATGCTACATGTCTGCGGCATGATGCCCCATTGGTAGACATCACTATAAACTGTGACACTGCAGACATCGTAGCAATATAACTGAAACATTATTAAAGCTTCGTTAAAAATCTAAAACACACACACACACACATACACATACACACATACACACTTTGATACGTCACACGCAGTGACATCATCAGTTTCTTAAAATAGATTTTCGGACACGGCTAACCAGCATAATGGCGACCAGTGATACTTTTCGTATTATTGTTCTTATTAAAAATGATGTTCCAGGAGCTAAATTTGTTTATCCGAATATAGATGAATATTCCGATATTAAGTTAAAGCAGATGAATATTCCTATATTAAGTTAAAGCAATGGTTATAATATCGAATCCTTACTGTTTAAAACCTGCGTCAGAACAAATACTGTACTTTTTGGGATCAAGTGTATTTAAGTTCTCTGGAATACGATCGTTTCTTGAATCGTGCATTTTAAATCTTTAATTTTCTGTACTCTTCTGTGTGTAAATTATTGTAAACAATAGAAATGTCGATTTTTCCTCTTTTCTAATTTGTGCATACATTAATCATACAAACTAGAAGTCATTTTGACGCTTTGATTTACAACTGTACATTCTTGTATGTTTTTCTACCGTTTGAAACAATATTGTACCCCAACTATTTCGATGATTTTCAAATTTACAAGTGTAATTTATTGTTGTTGTTATTATTGGTCCAGTGCTTCTATTATCCTCTCGGTATTTATGTTATTATTATCGCAAATCATCCCAGAAATTTGGTCATACTTGAATGGATGTGTAAGTAAAGAAAGTTACTGTTATCTGGTGGAGTTTTTTTGGCTATTGTTAATCTTCTACTCATTATTATTATTATTATTATTATTATTATTATTATTATTATTATTATTATTATTATTATTATTATTATCGCAAATAATCCCAGTAATTTTGTCAAAATTGCATGGGTATGTAAGTAATAAAAGTTCTTTTTCTTCTTCTTCTTCTTCTTCTTCTTCTTCTTCTTCTTCTTCTTCTTCTTCTTATTATTATTATTATTATTATTATTATTATTATTATTATTATCGCTGTTCTTTTCAGAGTCTAAGACTGTCCTTCTCTTTTGTTGCATCTGAACAATAAAACGTAAATAATAAAATAACTAAAAAATTATAATGAAAATAATAAATAGCTTTCGGTTTATTTAAAATGATAATGTTCTTGGTATTCCATAAATTTGTAAGTATATTATTTACTGGGCATGGTAAAACTGTCAAATATGGTCAAGCTTTGTAAAGATAAAAATAACATTTGTGTCTTCACATTTTATTCTAGTCACTGACCGCTTAATCAAATATTTGTTTTTTCTAACAAGTCAATATTTCTCATAATAATTTGTAAAATCAAGGTAACATTTAAATATTCATGCATTGTAACATATATTATCTTGATATTTTTAAACAAAAATAGATGTATACTCTTCCCCATTCTATTGCATTGTTGAGTTTATACACTTATTTGTTGTTTTAATTACCTAATAAATTTATTATTATTATTATTATTATTATTATTATTATTATTATTATTATTATTATTATTATTATTATTATTATTATCTACATCATCATTGTTGATATTGTTGTTGTTGTTGTTGTTGTTGTTGATGATGATGGCATCCAGGCTGTTTGACTTAAGAAACTGTGCCAATACCTCTAATGATAAAACCTGTGTTGGAGACATTATAGAGTCAGAAATAAAAGGGAAAAAAAATAGGTATTATAACGCCCAATTTAATTGGGTCGGGAAGTTATTTGGTTAGTCCATTTTCACAACAAAATGCAAATTACATATATATGTATTCTTCGTCACATTTTTTATGGTAAATCACGTCGGCCTCAATGGAGTGCCATTCGCATACACGTTTCACTCTCCTGGTCATCCTT